CCATCTGCCCTGGTGTGCGTGACGCCCCTCCAATTCCTCTCCTCCACCTCCACCTCGCACTTTTGCTCCCCGGTGGCCGTACGCTAGCCCTCCCGCGCCATCGCCCGAGCTGTCACCCACTCGACTCCCCAGACCCGCGCTCTAACAGCCGTGCAGCAGGACACCGCGACATACACACACTCCCCCCATGGCCCAGGGAACACGCGGGCCCGCCCCGGCTCAACTGCCACCCAACGGCACGGCGACGCACGCCCACGATACCACCCCGACCGCCGTCAACCGCAAGAAGCAGAAGCGACGCGAGAAGGAGGCCGCCAAGAGAGCCGCACAGGAGCCGCCTGCGCCTGCGCCCGCGCGGAATGGCGTGTCGCCTGCCCGAGGGCCGCCCGGCCAGCAGCAGTATGCCGACCCGGAGCTGGACGAGGCGGCATACGACGAGGGGGAGTACTACTCGGACGAGGAGTACGAACACGCGTACGGCACAAACGGCGACTATCCGCAGGGCTACGGCCACACCCCAATGCGCAGCGCCGCGGGCAAGAAGACGCGGCGGAAGAAGAAGGCGCCCTCCGCACCCCCTCCGCTGGCCTACACCCAGCACGTCGCATCACGCCTCAGCCCCGCACCCGCCCACCAAATGTCGCCCGCCCACTCGGTCGCGCGCTCCGGCGCCCGCGGCGACCGCATATGGAACACGACCATGCAGGACGAGCGGGACCGCATCCGCGAGTTCTGGCTGTCCCTCGGCGAGGACGAGCGCAAGTCGCTCGTCAAGATCGAAAAGGAGGCGGTTCTGCGCAAGATGAAGGAGCAGCAGAAGCACTCGTGCAGCTGCACCGTCTGCGGGCGGAAGCGCACCGCCATCGAGGAGGAGCTGGAGGTTCTATATGATGCATATTACGAAGAACTCGAGCAGTACGCGCACCACCAGCAAGACGTCGGTAGTTTCATTCCCGAGGCTAATTATGGTTATGCGTCCAGTGCTCCTCACCACCCGCGCCCCATGCTGAACCCCCACCCCCCGCCCGGCCCCTACGACGACGACGAAGAAGAGTACGACTCGGGCGAGGAAGAGGAGGAAGACTCCGAGTACGACAGCGAGATCTCGTCAGAGGGCGGCTACAGCTCAGGCGAGCGCAGTCTGCCGCCGCCCGAGCCCTCAGACTTCCTCCAGTTTGGCAGCAGTCTGCAGGTCAAAGGTATGCCCGCCCCCTACCCGTGCTGGGAGCATGCTGATTCATCCTTTTAGGTGGCATACTTACGGTTGCTGACGATTTGCTCAAGAACGATGGGAAGAAGTTCATCGAGATGATGGAGCAGCTCGCTGAGCGTAGGATGCAACGGGAAGAAGATGCTCAAGTCCAGGCTCACCCCGGCGCCCAGCACCGATCCTACAGCGGCCACAGCCACAGCGCGCCTCCACCCGACGAAGACGACTACGACGAAGAGGGCGAAGACGAGGAAGAGTACGATGACGACGACTACGAGGAGGACGAAGAGGATGAGGAAGTGCGTATCTTAGGCTGGACTATCTATCTGCAACTAACCCCGCCCAGGGCGCCATGACCGAGGAGCAACGGATGGAGGAAGGCCGGCGAATGTTCCAGATCTTCGCAGCGCGAATGTTTGAGCAGAGAGTGCTCCAGGCGTATCGAGAAAAGGTGGCCGCGGAACGACAGCAAAAGTTACTCGAAGAACTGGCAGAGGAGGATGTGCGGAAAGATGCGAAAGAGGCAAAGAAAGCAAAAGAAGCCCAGAAGCGCAAGGAGAAGAAGGACAAACAGCGGCAGCTGAAGGCGGAACAGGAGGCTCGCAAGGAAGCCGAACGAGCAGCCAAGGAAGCCGAGGCCAAGGCTGCGGAGGAGAAGCGACTGGAGGAACAGCGGAAGAAGCGAGAAGAGCAGCGCAAGAAGAAAGAGGCCGAACGCAAAGCCCAAGAGGAGGAGAAGCAGCGCAAGGAGGCCGAGCGTCTGAAACGACAGCAGGAAGAGCGCGAGCGACAACAGGAGGCGGAGAGAAAGGCACGCGAACAGAAAGCCCTTGAGAAGAAGGCCAAAGACGAGGCAAAACGGAAGGAACGCGAAGAGCGGGAAGCGAGGGAGAGAGAAGCGAAAGAGAAGAAGGCACGGGAGGACAAGGACCGCAAGGAACGGGACTCGAAGACCAAGGGCCAAACACGCAAGGAGGATCAAGCCGCCGCTGCAGCTGCCCACAACGCTATTGCTGGTGCGAAAAAGGCCTCACAGCCAGTAGCTGTTGCGCTGCCTCCTCAATTGCTAAAGCAAAATTCGTCTACGGGAATGCCATCGCCGCAGGTCACGCCAGCTGTACCGAAGGCTCCGACCCCGAACCGACCGCGCCAAACATCGCACCAGACCTCCCACGGCTCATCGCCAAAGACTCCCCATGCTACTCTCGGAACAAGCAAGTCGACATCCCCAACCTCCCAGCTGCCAAACCAGTCGATACCAAGGTCGATTTTGACGAAACCGCCAATTCAACAGCAAGGTCTGGGGACCCCACATGGGCAACCATCGTCTCCCATGCCTCCTATGGGACCACCGCCGGGTATGCAAGGGCCGCCAGGACTGGGTATGAACATGCCTCCAGGGCTGAACGGCTTCCCTGGTCATGGATCAATGATGCCTGGAATGATGGGACCACGTCCAAACATACCCTTCTTCCCTCAACCAGCGCCCCAGAGCTTCCGTGGATTCCCGCCTCCCGGAATGCACACACCAGGTGCACTTCCAATCGGCCGTGGTTTCCCTATGGAAGGACCGCCAGGCTTCCCAGCACCTCCAGGCTTCACTGCGCCAATGCCATCCGCCTTCCCGATGGGCATGCCGACGCACTCGCGACAGGGCTCGGGGTCTTTTGAACGACTCTCAAACGATAGCCCCATCACTGGTCCTCAAGCACAGCCCATTCAACGGCCAACGCCTATCAAGCGCCCTTCAAGCGTGAAGGCGGGTGATGAAAATGGACAGCAGGGGTCCGATGTAGACGAACTGGCAAATCACCTGGGCAGTAAAGCGCTGCTGGACGACGATGACGACATCCCCGAACTACCCGATCGACGTCCAAGCATGCAACAACACGGCTCCGTGAGAGCGCCATCATTCGGCTTCGCAGACATACCCGGGTCGCAATACGGCTCGTTCGGAGCACCAGGCGGCGGCAGCATCTGGGGCACACCACCCCTACAGGGCTTCCACTCCGGTGCCAACTGGGGCAACTCGCCCACCTCCAACATCTTCAACAGCCCCTTTTCCATCAACACCACGCGAACCCTCGAGCGCAACGCAAACGAGCAGCGCATCGTCTGGCTCCGCCGTACCATCTGCGCCGCATGCAAGACCCTCGCTCCCCGCGCCTCCGACGCAGACGGCTACGTAGACGCCTCGGAAGTACATCGCCAAGTCGAGGCTTCGCGCGGTGCCATGGATCCTGCTGTCAGCGTGGATGAGATCAAGGAGGCGTGCGATATTCTTGATGTTACGCATACGAATGGTGGCGGCAGCTTGGAGTACAAAGAAGATGCCAGTGGCAGGTTGTCGCATATCAAGTTTAGCGATGGTGCGATACAGGCTCCTCCTTCTAGCTTGGGCGAGATTGGTAGCCCGGTTCCGGGTCATAGCGTTCTGGCGGGTGGGTTTGGTGGCCGATTCCCAGGCCTCGGACCGCAGGGCTTCTGATAGAAGATGGGAAATGGAGAAGTTGAAGTCTTATCCTCCTGTTCTCTTGTCTCATTCTTTTTCTTTTGGCCAAGCAGGGGTGTGCTGAGTATCTCTGTTGATGAAGCTCTCTCCTTCATACTTGTTCCTTTGTAGATGAGAGACGAGTTGTCGGTCTAGTCTAGTGTCTTCCTCTTGTGGTTGATGGATGCCAAGTGGAGGTAATCTAGTCGCTGAGAGAGTGCCATGACGCGGTTTTGATGTGCTTGCAAAAAGTGATGTGTTGGTGTTCTCTATGATGAACTTGATCTTTACGATACCCTGACATGCTCTAATTTGAACACAATGCATTATTTGTCCCGGGGAAATCTTACGACATACTCTTGTCCAACTTGGGATGTCTTTCATGCCCTCCTAGATCAAAGCTAACATACTGAGCTCATTACAGCCGTACAAATATATTTGACTACGAAGCAATTCCTTAGATATTATGTGACACTCCACTATACGCTGATGTCAAAACATCGTGGCTTCACCGTGCTCATGCAAAACTGCAAACTAAGTTCGACGTCGTTCGACGTCGTTCGACGTCGTTCGACGTTGACGGGTAGTGTCGGACGATCCCCACCCAGTACACCGGAACACAGCACGTTGTGGCAACGTTGTAAGAGGAGCGGTCAAGCTCGCCGCCTCGTACCATTCTCGCACAACCCCGCAATTGCGACATCTCACCACCTCATAGGGAGCGTCTGGCCAGACCACCTCAATGACGTTACAGCCAACAAAGCACAGGATGATTGAGTTCGAACAGCCTCAAAATCTGGTCGAAGCGATGGCGAATGACGGTATTTTCAACTCTATTAATAGGATAAAGCTGGTAGAAACGTGGTTAGCCAGGCACGCATCATCATCGTCGGTCCTGCATCGTCGGGTGGGCGGGGGAGGCGGAGGGGAGGCGGAGGGGCGGAGGAGGGGTGGTGGTGGAAGTATGTTAGCTTCCAAGATGAAGCAGCCTCATGCTCTTGATGATAGGTATCTATCTCATGGTGGGAAGGCTGATAATCTGGCAAACGTTGGAAAGCGGCTAGCCAGGCACGCAGCGTCACCGCTCCTGCATCGTCATCCCTGCATCCAGCATCCCTGCTAGCCTCGTGTCGGCCGGCGGGGTCGTTGGAGCCTCATAGCTGAGCTTGCTACAACATCGAACATTCCACGTCTTTTTCCTCTTCGCTTCAATTGAACCACTATTTCACACTTACCCGGTTTCTTCATATCATTACATCTTATTTCTCGCATCTCTCACTTAGACACACCTCACACATCATGACCGACCCCATCGCCGACGCTGCGCAAAAGCACCCTGCGCCCGAGGGCCTCAAGTACACGTACGGAACTGCTGGTGTAAGTTCAGGAGAGGATGGATCGAGAGATTGAAGCATTCGCATGCTAATAGAGATTTCAGTTCCGAACAAAAGCGTAAGCCATCCCCTGCATTCATACGATGGATGGCTACGGTGCCAGCTATCGAGCACCTCCGCGCGCCGCAGCTGGCGACTCTTCCACCACTACCCCGAACACCAACCCTCGTCACGCACAAAACCCCGAACTACGCTTACCATAGCAGTGATGTCCTAGATTCCGTCCTCACTCGCGTTGGTCTCATTGCGGCGCTGCGGTCGCGGGCGCTCAAGGGCAAATGGATTGGTGTCATGATCACCGCTTCGCACAACCCTCCTCAGGACAATGGCGTGAAGCTCGTGGAACCAATGGTACATTTAATTTCCCAATATGAGGCAAGATTGGGCTAACAACTTTCTAGGGCAACATGCTGCAAGAGGAGTGGGAGGTCATCAGCACCGAGATGGCGAACAAGACCACCCCCGAAGACGTCTCGAAATACTACCGCGAAATCGCCGCCCAGAATAAGATCGACCTCAGCATACCGGCACGCGTCGTCGTAGCTCGCGACACAAGAGCTTCGGGTTCAAGGCTTCTCGGATGCCTCGTTGATGGTTTGAACAGCGCCGGTGCTGAAGTCAAGGACTACGGCTTTCTTACCACGCCACAACTACACTACATGGTTAGGTGCTTGAACACCGAAGGTACTAAGGATGCTTACGGCACACCTACCGAGAAGGGCTACTATGAGAAGTTTGGTGCGGCGTTCAAGACTGCGCTGCGTGGAAAGAAGCCTTCTGGTAGCCTGACAGTCGACGGTGCCAATGGTGTTGGTGGACCGAAGCTGAACGAGCTCATCAAGTACCTCCCCACCAAGGAAGAAGGCGGTCTTGAGATCTCCGTCATCAACGACAACGTTATCAAGCCCGAGAGCCTGAACGTCGACGTAAGCAAACATATCTACAGGTGATGGAAGTTTGCTAATTCACGCACAGTGCGGTGCAGACTATGTCAAGACCAATCAGCGAGCGCCTCCTTCATCCAAGGCTGGACCCGGCGACCGATGCTGCTCTCTCGACGGTGACGCTGATCGTGTAGTATACTACTTCAAAGACGAGAAAAACGTGTTCCGACTACTCGACGGTGACCGCATCGCGACTCTCGTAGCTTCCTTCCTCGGCGACACCGTCCGTCAAAGTGGACTGGCAGACAAGCTCAAGATCGGAGTTGTGCAAACCGCCTACGCCAACGGCGCCGCCACAAAGTACGTCGAAGACAACCTCAAGCTCAAGGTCGACTGCACACCCACCGGCGTAAAGTACCTGCACCACGCAGCCGAAAAGCTCGACATTGGCGTCTACTTCGAAGCCAACGGCCACGGCACCGTCATCTTCTCCCACGACACTCTCGACACCATCGAGAAGCACGAGCCCCGCAACCCCGGCGAGAAGGAAGCCCTCGACGTCCTGCGCGCCTGCATCAACCTCATCAACCAGTCCGTCGGCGACGCCCTCTCCGACTTCCTCCTCGTCGAAGTCGTCCTCGCACACAAGCACTGGGGCTGCCAAGAGTGGCTCTCTACATACAGCGACCTGCCTAACCGCCTTCTCAAAGTGCTTGTTAACGACCGCACCATCTTCAAGACCACAGATGCCGAGCGCAAACTCACCAGCCCTGAGGGTCTCCAGTCGCAAATCGACAAGGAAGTGCAGAAAGTGCGCCAAGGTCGTTCGTTTGCGAGGGCGTCTGGTACGGAAGACGCCGTTCGTGTGTATGCTGAAGCTGAGACGAGGGCGGAGGCTGATGACTTGGCGAGGAAGGTTAGTGAGCTTGTGAAGGCTGCGGGTAGCAACTAGGAGTTGTTTGTCGGAATAGAGCTGTTGATGATAATAATCCTGGGCACACAGATCCTCATGCTCTTGCATCGCTTGTACGCCTCCATCGAGCTCAGCATGCATCTTTCAGAGGATGGAGACGAGTTTTATTATTGGGATGGATGGATGGATGAATGAATGAATGGGATGGATGGTGCTAGTAGGGTAGATTAGATGGGGCAAAAGCAAAATTCATTGATTTGTTCAATTTTGGGGTATGGTTGTGTGAGGGTGGTTGTTTGATGAATTTTTGGCTGATTCGAAGGGTTCCGTGATGGAAAATCTATACCCACCTTCCATCTCCTCACAAGAGAAAGACGACTACAAGATATCCGTTGAAAGATTACGGCAGGATTAACTCAAAGGTCAAGATGTAACGTGTGGTTTCTGAACCAACTGTCTACTTCGGTGTCAGCTTTGTTGGTGGTGTTGTGTGCTCTGGTTGGTTTTCGCGTGCAGTCCGAATCGGGTAACTTGTGCAAAGCCGTTGATTGCGGCAGTAGGTGCCTGGTTTGTTACCACAGGGCCTCACGACAGTTGAAAGTCTTCTCAAATCGACACCTGCGAAATTCATCTCCCGGAAACAACTCATGACATAGCGAAGACGGTCCTATTTAACTGGGATTTGCAGACTGAGGAAATACGCTGAACAACTTACAGCTCTTAGATGTACCTTGGTATATGCTTGTCTGATCGAGTTCGATGCAACTTCCGCGTTCTTACTTAATCAGTCTCTTCAATGTTAATCCAATCTCTTCTATGCGACTCAACTATGAGTTCCGACATCATGAATGTCCCCAAGATGGCTCGGTGTTCTTTCTCCCTCCGGGTGGGTGGGGGAGGCGGCGGGGAGCTGGAGGGGAGGCGGAGGGGTGGAGGTGGAAGTAAAAGATGTCGCTGGTCTACCTGGAGATGCCGGCGGAACGAAGACACTGAGTACACGATGGTCAGAGTTGTTGGATGTATCTCCAAGATGGCTCGGCGTGCCTTCCATCTTCCCCACTTCCGACACACATCGCATTTCACCGCTGGCTAGGATCTCGGCAGCACCGAGTTCACGGATCATCGGCGTACCCAATAAAACTCCACGCAACCCACGATCCATCTCCAAGCATAAACGTGGCCCATTTCATATCGTCCGAAACATGCATATTTGAAACGAGAGTGGACTGGACAAGCCTCATCAAATCCGAAGAGCCGCCTGCGCAACGCACCGCCACATTTCCGTATCCAATTCGTCGACTTGTGCACAGTCCGATCACGATGATACTTGTTGTGAGAACGCGTGGCAGTGCAAAAGCATAGCAGTAGCGCAGCTTCATTCTCCCGCTCTCCGCAAACTACTCCGAGCTCACTAAGGGGCGATCTCTCTGGAAAATCTTAGGGCAGCTGGCAGCTGGCCAGGCCCTTCAGGCCAAAAATAAAAACCACCCGCCAGAGATGCCATGGCAGAGCCGCGTACCCGGCGTTAAAACGGCGCGTTGGGACAGCCAATGGCTGGGCGTGCCTGGGGGAAGGCGGCTAGGGTCTGGCTCTAGCGAGGCGTCACAGCTCCCTCTAGCGCCGACCTCTTGACAGGGCACGACAGGGATCGACGGCCCTTTTCCATCCGCTCTCACGGGCAAGGGACGCGAGGCACTGCTCGTAGCTCTGAACTCTCTCTCACTGCCGTTACTGCTTACTGCTGCCGTTGCTTGCTTCACTCTTGGCTTTCCTTACACTCTGCTTTGTACATTCTTTCTGCTTTGCGCGTATACCCACTTGTCATTTTTCCTTGTGAAGCGTAGCAACCCGAATAACCCCGAATACGACCAGCGGCGATCTTTACGATACAGCAGATCTTACTTAGATCTCAGTGAGGGAGAGGGGAACACGAGGAAGACATGCGCTGAGCTCTCGGACCCGAGATCGACCCCCAATACCACGTGTACCCATCACACGTGCTACCACAATCGCTACCACACCTTCGCTACACGTTACACCCGTCACTCGCTATGGCATCCACAGTACCGAACGTGCTGCTCCGGCGGGACCTGAGCATAGAGCAGAAGTTCGAGCAGTTGATGACAGAAAATGCCCTGGGCGCTTCGGTACATGCAGCCCCCATCAGTCGCATACAATTCTAACATCCCCAGGTATCCCAAGACTCCGTCCTCGTCGCTATCGGCACATCCTTCGGCATCACCGCCGCTATTTTCGTACTTTTCCTCCTACTACGTCCTTTTAATACTATCGTTTACGCGCCCCGTCTCCGACACACCGACGAGAAACACCGACCGCCGCCTCTGGACAAATCGCTGTTCGCGTGGTACAAGCCCGTGTTCAAGACAAACGAACCCGAATATGTTGAAAAGATTGGACTGGATGCGACCATCTTCCTGCGTTTTGCGCGCATGTGCAGGAACATGTTTGTCGTGCTCGCCATCGTTGGCTGTGGAATCATCGTTCCCGTCAACGTCATCAAGTCTGTAGAATTCCAGAAGAATTTCGACGGAGATATGAGCGGCAAGATCATCTTCCTGATGACACCTAGAGATCTATTTGGTCAGGTTTTCTGGGCTTTCGTCGTGCTGGCATACCTTATCGACATCATCGTTTGTGGCTTCTTGTGGTGGATGTACCGCGCTGTACACCGGATGAGACGCCAGTACCTCGAGCACCCAGACTACCAGAACAGTCTGCACGCGCGGACGTTGATGGTTACGGATATCGACCGCAGCTTTCGCAGCGACCAGGGCATTGTGGAGGTTACGGACAGCTTGAAGACTACGCCGGAGGTGCCCCGCGCGTCCATCGGACGCAACGTGAAGGATATCCCAGATCTTATCGAGGCACACGAAGAGGCGGTCATTGAGCTGGAGAAGATATTGGCGAAATACCTGAAGAACCCGAACAAGCTACCCGCCGAGCGACCGCTATGTACTCCTTCGAAGAAAGACCCAGAGTTTACCGATAAGGCGCAAAAGGTGGATGCAATCGACTACCTAACAGCGCGCATTCAGCGATTAGAAAGCAAGATCAAGGAGGTCCGGGAGACAATCGACAAGCGCGATGCTCTGTCGTACGGATTCGCTAGCTACGAGAGTATCGACTCTGCGCACATGGTCGCCTTCGCAGCCCGCAGCAAGCACGTGAAAGGCACCACCGTCCGACTCGCACCCAAGCCAAAGGACATCATCTGGAAAAACCTCACCCTCGACCCCAAGACGCGACGCTGGAGGAGGACCGTGAATAACTTCTGGATCACCCTGCTCACACTCCTATACTTCATCCCCAACGCCCTGATCGCCGTCTTCCTGTCAAAGCTCTCCAACCTGGGTTTTGTATGGCCTACCTTCCAGACCGAACTAGCCGCACACGCCGATTTCTGGGCCGTCGTTCAAGGTCTCGCAGCTCCGGCGCTCACCTCGCTCTTTTATTACTTCCTCCCCATCATCTTCCGTCGCTTGTCCATCAAGGCCGGAGACACAACCAAGACATCCCGAGAGCGCCATGTCACAGCACAATTATACGCCTTCTTCGTCTTCAACAATCTCTTCGTCTTCTCGCTCTTCAGCGCCGTCTTCGGTATGATTGTCATGATTGTCAATCTCGCGACCCAGGAACACGTTCCATTCATGGATATCCTACGACAAATCAAGTTTTTCGACACGACCATGCGTACCCTGTGCGAAGTCTCGCCTTTTTGGGTTACATGGCTCGTCCAACGTAACTTGGGCGCCGCTATTGATCTGGCCCAGGCTGTCAACCTCGCGTGGGGCAGTTTCTCTCGCAAGTTCTTGAACCCGACGCCTAGGGAGCTGATTAGTCGGACTGCGCCGCCGCCGTTTGACTATGCGAGTTACTACAATTACTTTTTGTTTTACTCGACGGTTGCGCTGTGTTTTGCGCCGTTGCAGCCGATTACGCTGGTTATTGTGGCGATTTACTTTACGCTCGATAGCTGGATGAAGAAGTATCTTCTGATGTAAGTTTTGACAACATCCCTTATATACCCAACTAATGTCTTTTTAGGTACGTCTTCTGCACCAAGAACGAGTCTGGTGGCGCCTTCTGGCGTGTGCTCTTTAACCGCATGCTCGTTGGCACCTTTTTCTCCAACTGCATCGTCGCACTGCTAGTCGTAGCCCGCGGTTACGAACACAAATGGACCATGCTGGCCGCCATGGCCCCTCTCCCTCTCGGCTTAATCGCCTTCAAATTCTACTGCAAAAACGCCTTCGACCACTCGCTCAAGTACTACACGCAAGGCACACGCGCCAAGGGCACCGAAGCCCCAACCCCAATCGACAAGGAGTCGCGTCGTAGGGATCGCGTTGCCGTGCGATTCGGGTAAGTTCATCTCCACTTTGCAAAGACAAAAGACGCTTTACTAACATTTTTTCCTCCCAGCCACCCAGCCCTCTACCAAAAGCTCACCGTCCCCATGGTACACGAAAAATCCAAACACCTCCTCGCCGAAGTCTACCGCGGCCGCCTCGACGGCGACATTGGCGACACCGCCGCCTTCTCCGACGTCTACACCATGAAACGCATGTCCAAAGAACACCCGGGTAAAACCGCCGCTTCAGCCAACATCTCAAGCGGAGGGGGCGGAACCGGCCCCTTTGAATTCGTGTCGGAATCGAATATGGATTACGAGAATTATAAGAATAGACCTGAGTTTAGCGATGAACACGGCGGGGAGGGCAGTTTGTATGGGGGTAGTACGGTTGGACGGCCTGATACCCCGGGGAGTCATTGGGGCCGCGACAACTCGACGAACAACAGCGATCGGGGGAGGAGTACGAGTCGCGACTCGGAACGTACTATGCGCGACGATCCTGGCGTGTTGTACCCTGCTGGCTACCATCAGACACCCAGTGCGTTGCGCGAGTATAGTCCTAGTCCTAGTCTTGATCTAAGGGGCGTGGATAGTAGAGAGAGTCCGTATGAGATCGGAGGAGGGGATCAGGGGAGGTTGGTTAGTGGGGCTGCGCCTATGGGCGTGGGTAGTGGGTTGGCTGGGAATGGGGGGCAGCAGTATACGCCGTATAGTCCTAGTAGGGATGGGGCGAGAGATTACTTTGGGAGGTAGTAGGAGGCGCATGACGAATTTCCTTGTGTTCATATAGCGGCATCTAGATGGGCGTCGTACTATTTCTTGATTGATGGGTTTAGATACCAGAATCATCAACTACTTCTCTTCGAATCAGCGATCATCTAGTAAGACTGGGTGTACAATCCGGTGCGAGTGCCGCAGAAATGAGACTGCGGGAAGATCGTGTATGGTGTATTGTACGATTATTCGACAGTGACGCAACCCGCCAACTAAACCGTCGTAAACCTATTCCCAACAGAAATGTGGCTAGGCATCATATCCTTGAGCACCTCCAAGTCATCCACCTTAAGCGGATTAACCCCCCAAACCGCCAAATCCGCCACAAACCCAGGTAAAAGCCGTCCCCTCTCCCCCTCCTCCTTCAGCAATTCCGCCGCCTTCGTCGTATGCAACGCAACCGCTTCCCCCACGGTAATCGCATGCTCAACCCCCCTCACCCCAATCACAGTCTCTCTTGACGCCATCCCCCAAACCGACCGCATAGCCGCAAAACTACCAACGGGATAATCGCTCCCGCCCGCTATCAGCGCACCGGCATCCAGCCACGTCCGCGCGGGGAAGGTGCGAGATACGCGGTCCGTCCCCCAGTATACCTCTTGGACCCCCGCCGCGTTATGGAGAAGCGGATGTTGGATGGTTGTAGCGATGCCGAGCTTCACGGCTCGGATCTGTTCGCTTGGAGAGACTAGGCCTCCGTGTTCCATGACTAGTGTTCCGGGTTGTAGGTAAGGGAAGCGGTGCATGAGTTCGGAGTATACATCCAGTACCAATTTCACAGCTCGGTCGCCATACGCATGCGTGCCTATCTTCCAGCCTCGACGTACGACTGCGGTCATGGCTTCCACGAGCGCGGTCTTCTCCCACGTGAGCATACCGTGGTAGGAGGGTAGTCCGCAGCAATTGCAGTCTGCGTCCTTTTCGCGGCCGGGTGGTATCTCGAGGAAAGGTTCAGATACGGCGCCTGCTTCCATGCCGCCGTCGACCATGAATTTCACGCCCCAGACGGAGAGGTAGGGGTCAGTTTGCATATGCCGGTAAGACTCCATCTTGTTAAGTAAACCCTCGACTTGCTCTGCGGATGTCATACCCACGGCGGGTATGAGGGCATGCACGCGCACGTGCAGTTTCCCGGCTGCGTGGGTAGCGATGAGGGCGTCTAGGTCGGCGAGCGGGACGTAGCAGTCGCGGACGCAGGCTGTTCCTGTGGCGGCGTACGCGCGGCTTGCGGCTTCTAGTCCTGCGACTCTTTCTGCGAGGGTTGTGGATGGCTTTAATTTGAGGATGGGGACGGTGGCGGAGTCTTGGAAGAGACCGGATAGACTTCCGTTTGCTTCTTTTCCGATGAGGCCGCCCGGTGGTGAGGGGGTGGATGAGGTTACGTTTAGTAGGTTTGTAATGACTGAGTTGATTACTACGTTGTGACCGCCTCGCATCACCATGATGGGGTGTTTGGTAGACACTCCATCGAGTTCCTTCAACGTAGGCAGTCTCTGCTCTTTGATGTTGTACTCCAGCCAATCCGTCGCTGTACAAATCCATTCACCCTCTTTCGTCTCGCTAGCCCGCTTCTTCAGACGTGCGAACAGCTCATCCAGGCTCTTGACGTCGTGAACTGGAACGTCGAAATAAGTCAGACCGGCGAGAATCAGATGCGTATGCGTATCTGTGAACGCGGGAAGGACGGTGGAGTCTGGTACGTCGATGATCTGGGTCTGGCTGCCGATAAAGTCGTCTAAGCCTGCTGGGTCCTCGGAGAGAGCAATGATGCGTCCTGAGAGGAGGGCTATGGATTGCTGTGGTGGCATCCCGGGGTGCAGTGTTTCGATGGTGCCGGCGCGGATTAGGGTGTTTGCTTGGAGTTGGGAGGTTGGGGAAGTCATGATGAATAGGATACGCTGTGATAAATTTGAAAGTGTTGACGCTGATCTGAGAACGTAGCAGAAAAGAAGTGTATTTAATCGTGTGTTGTTGTACACATTGATTAGGTGGTTGTTGCTTCTACTTGTACTCAAGCGTTCGGCCGAAGGAGTAGCAAATGCCTTTGCGTACCTTTCGTACCATCATGCGCTACGGTTGATGTGTGCGGACACATGACATGGTCTTCGTACAACGTCGCATATTCACATCGTGGCTTGACCAGCACTGCGATTAGGTTGTGGCGGTAAAATGTACGGCATGGATCTCCTGGCTCGAGGTCGGTGGTCGCGTGATCAGCAGGCCGAAGACGGCGTTCGGGCTTACAAGATGCCGCATTTCAAGATCCATGACCTGTAATAGAAAGAACATGATTGAAGATGTAAGGCGGAGAAGTCATGAAGCATCTAGTACGAAGCCAGTGCTCTGCGCAGGCATTCGGTGGAGATGGAGGCGGGTGCCGTGGCGGGGTAACGCGCTAATTGGCTTAGCGCAGAAGCCTTGCTAACCTCAAATGTTCGCCTCAGGCATCTCTTGCCTCCTCAACCACCGAACGACCATTGAACTATTGCCGCGCCTCCATTGTGCTCTTGCGCTGCAGCTTCTGTCATTATCGTCACTTATCGGTCGAGTCGAGCTCGATGCGTCCACCATCCCTTGCCAAATCGTTTTCTGGGATACATTGTATCGTCCCCTTCTTGGACTGAGTAGCTAGCTTCCTCTCAATGCTTCGGTAATTGATGGCACAGTCGCAGGCTCTATTAACGTGCGATCTACGTTCTCTGATTTGGCTGGACCGAGCAGACCCCGAAAGCGACGACGATACGTCGAGCTAGCAGAGAGGACTACCGGAGCGTGTCCCATGCTGTTTGTCTCATTCAAAACTTTGAAGTAGACGCTTCATTATTTGTACACGTTGTCTTACAGGCTGAGCGAACACGTCTTTGTCCCTTGTTTTGGATGGAAAGCTGCGGCGAAAGTCTACCACTGCCAGCGCAATCGCGATACGTACAAGTTTCTTTCGTCTCAAGTCATTTATCGATAGACCATTTGCGAACGTCGAACTGAGACTCCGCAATTGAAAAGAAGACATCTCGTGGGAATAGTCGTTGAGACTGTATCTGTTTCAGGGTATCGAATAGGTTAAGCGCGCACAGACTCCGCGTCAGTAGCTCTCTTTTCTCCATACTCTGTCATTTCGTCCAATACCTGCGTCTACTATCTCTTCCTATTTCCAGAAAGGACGCGCGTTTGAGCGCCGGCGCTTATCATGGATCATCTACCATCTCTTCTAGTGGATACCTACAAACGGTATGAGTTCGCTATCTAGATCGTCTGCCAGGACCTTGGCTAACCACTTCCTTTCATCTCAGATACAAAAGTGGTACGCAAATTGTAGCTACTTGGCTGGCAACATCAGCCGCCAAAATCCAGTCCATTGACCACTTGTTGATCAAGAACGCACGTCTCAAGGGACAAGCTCGCGCTGCAGCCCGACAGAACGGAGTGAGCGAAGTACCTCTAAACGCATTCAGGACCTTGGTCGACATCCTTGCGAAGGCTAAGATCACTTTGCCGACCGATATCGAAGCTATCTTGTGGAGTGTCATCACCGCTCGCAAAGAATGCGCAGGGTTCTACCGAGCGAAACCAGAGCGAGAAGCTGGTGATGACATTGACGATGAAGGCCATCAGTTCTTCATCGACATCCTCGATTACTATTACCACACGCTCAAAGCGCCGACAGCAGGCAAGACCAAGGAAGAACGCGAGAAAGGAGCATCTACGAATAGTCGCACATCCAACTTCTTCGAACACCTCAGTCTGGTTCAAGAGCATGCTGAGCCATCGGGCTACGTGCCTTCGGTGTCGACAGACACGCAGAGCCGAAGCTACCGTATCAAGGAGTCCGCCAACCGAAAGAGTGAAAAGGCCTTTGCGCTTTTCTGTTTCCTCAAAGATATGACAGCAATTCGTTTATTCGTCCACAAAACCTGGCGCGGATACAAGGAACGTAGCCTGGCGCTCACCACAGCAGCGACGACCGCCAATGTCGCAGTTGACATCTTGCGACGGGTGAACGAGGCCTTTCTGAAAGACTTTCCAGAATTCGAAAGCCACCACAAAGTGATCAAGTTTCTTGAGAGCTTCGAGGAACAAGGTACCAGCGGCATCACCCGGAAAGACGAGATGGGCTGGTACGATCTCGATGACTTCAAACTGTCACCGCAAACCTTCGTCTGCAAAGATACTTATAACGTATATTTCCGAGACCATCTCTTCGATCACGACGGCAAGAAGGAAGTGATGGTAGATTATCACTCTGGCAGGAAAACTGCCAGAACCGAGCAGACTCACATGAGAAGGTGCCTTAGCGTCTTCTTGAGCCTATCTAGGTCAGCCGATGTGGGCGCATTCACACGAGACCATGATATCCTAGCTCGCGCGATCCACACAATCGATGAGGAGCAAAAAGCAAGCACTTGGATCATATTCGCACTCCAGATGTTCGTCGACATGCACCGTGAGCTTGGTGCGGAAGTGCCTCGTGCGCATAGGGATCTCCTGGATGGTAACGCGAGAATGAGTGGCGCATTGAGACGGTACGTCGACTTTGCAGAAAACCACGACGGCGAATGGGGCCGATATTTGTACACACAACTAGCCTCCTCATGGCATCGCCTTCTTGAGACTCTTGAAAGGGTTGACCATGTCAGCGACACGTTCAAGATGCACAATTCGTGGCTCGGGGGAGGAACCTTGGTGGATGGACCGTTCTACCTCGAGAACCAACCAACCTATGCTGGATGCACACTAGAGCGTCATAAGGAAGGTGTGCACCTGTTCGGTGTTGAGGCTGCAAGACATTCCGAGCAACTCCTGTTCGCCTGCCACATCTACAATGCCGGACTCAAGAACGGGCTGCTGCGACGGTGGCCTGACATGGAATATCTCATCGCCAAGCAAACCGAGACACATCTCTTCCTAGGAACCCGTCCGGTCGGTTACGAAGAGTGCGATAAGCGGCTACTTTTGATGCGAGGCTTCAGTCCCAGTGTGCTTGCCAAGCACAAGCGCGCCGGCAGGCCAATGTATGAGTTGTTCGAGACGATGGATACGAAGAAGAATTTAGGCGGCCGCAAACTAGAAATTTTCTCCGCTTTCGTTAGACAGGCTTCCGCTTTTGACGGCCTTAAGCGGGTGATGCTGAAGACGGACGAGAATGGCAAGAATAAAAACGAGCCGATCTGGCTTCTGGAGCGCGTAGTCCGACATCGGCTGGAGAACAAATCGAAGACGTCAAAACATGGCAAACGTCGTAAACAAGAATTAAGTCCTCTCCAGACGCTTGAGACTTATCGAGACGCCATGAAGGAGGATGAGTTCCTTCTCAATTTCGACATCATGACGCTGGATCTCATCGCCAACAAAATGATCCATGTGATCAAAGCCTGGTTGCGAGACTTTGGAGACTTGAAAGCTAGCTCGGTTCCTGGATCCAAAGTCAGTCTGAAATGTATCCGAGACATCGCAATGGCATCTGCGATGTTGTCGTCAGCAAATAAGAAACGGGAGATATGGGACGTCCTCGATCACATCATTAGTCGCGTCGGCAACATGTGTTACTTGCGTGCAGAGGCTCATCGCGGTACCGTAAACCTTCAGCCGCGCAACCCGGCATACGAAGGCCAGTTTCTTCCTACTGCTGCTGTCTTTGGTGGGCCGAACTCGCCCGAGGTCCCTGAAGACTGGCAGAACAAGTGGGACATCGTCGCTGGTAAAGGAGCGTATGACTATCATGTCTCTACTACGGCGCTTTTGACATCGGAGCAGAGGGCTAGGGACAAGGAGTGTAACGACTTCTTGGAGAAGCTGATTCCGATTAATTATCCAGACTACAGCCAGGAACAAATTTGTCAGCTTCTCGGAATGGAGTACAGGGATGTCACGCGATCATTTCTTGTGCATTAACGGGAGTCTTTTGGTAGTGCGTAGATATGACGGATGCAATCGTTTCATTATCGCAGTCACGACCCATGTGAAAAGTGAAAATAACGTGAAGTAAAAGGTGACTAGTGTTAGATGAACGTGTCTTGTACTGCGATGAGAGTAAAGATTGCAGGAGAAGAGGCGTTTTTGTATTACCCACCCGAAGAGGGATAGGACGAAATGAGATGACGTAATCATCGCCGATCACACGCGCGCGGCTGGACGCGACCCCACGCTTCCAACACGCGTCAAGATGCTCACAGATCGTGATGCCGCCCAAGAGAGGTACGTATACCATCAAGAGCCTTGAGACGGGCTGGATTGACGTGATCAGCTCCCAAACGCAAGGCTACCGATGATGTAACAGTCAGTCGCAATGCCAACACCGCCAAACGAGTCGCGCAAGAGAATGCGAATTTCGGTACTCCAAGAGAGTGGCCGATTGAAGCCAAGAAAGGAATAAAGAATGCGCTAGAATCCTCTCTCCTACCTGATACCGGCCAACCGGTCTCCGATGAATCAGATTCCGGCGACTCAGAGCTCGCCGATTTCGAGGTTGACGGCGATGGCTATGATGCGGCCATCAAGGTGGAAGAGGAGCACGAGAAGCGCGTCGAGAGAGCGCACAGACATCTAGCGATAAGACTTCATCGGGAAGAGGAAGTGGAATTGGGCGACGTACGAGGTGAATGGGATCTCTACTCTCCCAACTATCTTGACCTACACGAAGTCGACAACCGAGCGCTGATATACACTGGACATTTCAACTTCCATCAGTGGAAGACGGGGAAACTCATCATTGGAGAGCATAGCAGCGACACCGCGCTCTCTTCGATGGAAGCCACTGCAAAGCTTTCCCTCACCGGCCTCAGGAACGAATGGCACCTGCCCCTCAACCTTCCCAAAGCCTCGTCTGTGGAGCTACAACCACTCCAAGGCATCCGCCAAAACTATGAAGGCGCTGGAAACCCCGAGGTTCGGCTCGGCATATCCTTCCTAGGAAACGGCTACCTGAAGATGCGGATACCCGGCATATACATTGCCGGCAAGAGGGAATGGAGAAGACATCTTACATTTTACGGCATCAACCGCACGTATCCGCCACAAGAGGTGGAGAGCCCTGAGCCGCTGCCACGACCCGAAACGCCGCCGCCGCCAGAGGGGTTCAAGTATGGCAAGAGAGGCAATCTGGTTCGTATATCGAAGTCGCGACCGAAGCCAGCGCTGCAGCCAGTGCCGGTCGAGACTATAGATGATCCCGGTGATGAGCTGGTGTCTTCGGATGAGGAACTGAGACGGAGGCTGCTCGAAGAGTTGGATGATAGCTTGTTCGTCAATTGGCCGGACGACAACTAGGGACTACAGTGTTGCTGGCGTCTCTATATGCCTCTGCGGAAGGCTTGTTTTTCGCGGCCCTTGCACATACGATAGCACGATCGCGGACTTCTGTGAAAAACATGTCACAAGTACCGGGCCAAACGTGTATCGAAGATAGTGGATGTATACTTGTAGCAGATGCCACGTTCAGCCTGGCTTGCTCATGTGCACGCGAGGTATGGCACAAGCACATGTGCTTCCCTCTGAAAATGATTGTTCAACACACAAGGCGAGCGCTTTTGGCAATCAAGCGTCTGGGGTGAAAAACCCTTAGGTCGCCACAAAAGGCATCTCTCTACTTTCACATCTTTCGCCATCAGAGATTACGGAACAATGGATGTGTGCGCAAACCTCAAAGAGCCTGAGCAAGCCATGGAACAGTACCAAGACTTGCTTCAACTGGCTAAGCAGATGAAAAGAAAGATTCCCGGAGACCGCAAGAACAAGAATGCATTGCTAGCAGCCTTCCTACCGGCGCAGGGGCTTGGAACAGCGAGTTCTGATAGCGAGGAGAGGCTTCTGATGAACACATCGTTCTTACCACGGGCATATCCGCCTTCCGTCGTCCCTCTCAAGAACTTGCAGCCTATCGCGATCAAAGACCTTCGGCTTGAACGACACCATAGCGGTCGCTATATTGTACTGCGGTCCATCACGTCTCCAAAACGCATGGCAGCGATTGAGGTTCTGGCGGAAGACGAGCACGGGGATGTCATACCATTGCGGTTGTACCAGCAGGACGATGAAGCAACCCGCCCAGCCACAGATATCATCGATAAGCATTCGGTTGTTCTCATCAAGGAGCCGTTCTTCAAGTTTACGGCAGCTGGAGACTACAGTCTGCGAGTGGACCACCTTTCTGATGTCGTGTTTCTCTCAGACAATGATACGATAGTACCTGATCTGTTCCAACGACCGCGACACGCTGAGGTGAAAACAGCAGAAACTTTGGAGCTAGAGGGGAATGCTCTCATAGACGGCAAAAAGTACTGGCAAGCGATCTACAGGTAAGTATTGCATCAAACGAGCGAGTGAGTGCGCTAACATGTAGGACAGGTATTCAGCCGCCTTGCTGCAATCGCCTACTCCCGACGAGATCAAGGTGATCAAGCTGAATCGATCATTGGCTTACCTCAGTACCAAGCAGTATGAGGCCGCGCTCTGGGATACTGGTTACCCAAGCTTCGGTGAAGAAGGATCAGAGACGGCAATGCTTCTTGCATCACAGGCACTGTACCACCTCCGCCATTACGACGAGTGCTGCGAGCTGCTGAAAGAGCTCTGCAAATTATCTCCGATCAACCAAGACGCAGCCGATGCGCTTGCTCGTGCTCAGCGTCGTTGCGATGAGTGTAATAGTGGACGATACGACTTCAAACACCTCCGAAGCGAAGCAACAAAATTTCGACCACCTCATCTAGATCACGGGTCGTACACTGCGCCTGTAGAGGATCGCCCAGTGCAAGGCAAGGGTCGCGGTCTTTTCACAACCAAGCCCCTCAAAGTCGGCGATTTGGTGCTGTGTGAGAAGGCCTTCAGCCACGCTCATCTTGACCATGGACAAAAAGGTAACGCAAGCATCACCCGCTTGGTCAATGTCGAGTCGGATTTGGACGCCACAGGCGTCAGGGCCGACCTTATCCGACTGATCGCGCAGAAGCTATTAAAGAACCCCTCCCTGGCTCCGGATTTTACTACACTGTATCATGGCAATCACCAAGCGGTCGCCACACAGCGCGTAGATGATCAGCCGGTAGTGGACACGTAAGTACCGCCCTACCACTCAAGTCGATTGACCTGGCAGACTAATACGACGCTCCTCCAGCTTCCTCATCGAACGAATCGAGGCTTTCAACAACTTCTCCTGTCCCCTCACGAGTTTGAACATATACAAAGACCGAATGGCAGGGAGAGTGACGCCCAAGGAAGACCTCCATGACTGTGGCGTCTGGATTAAGGCCTCATATATCAACCACAGCTGTCTCGGCAACGTCTGTCGAACCTTCATTGGAGACATGATGTTCATCCGCGCGACCAAGGATCTGGATGCGGGCACAGAACTCACATTTCCGTATGTTTATCCGACCGGGAAATACGATACGAAGATGGACGACGAGCTGAAAACCTGGGGCTTCATTTGCAACTGCCCGCTCTGCGAAGATATCAAAGCCACCGAAGCTTCGGACCTCACGAAGAGGCAGGACTTGCTGAACCAAGGAGTCGAACTCTGCAAATCTCCGGCGACAGGAATCCGGTTTACGAACAAGATCGAGCGCTTAGCCGAGGCGCTGAACGAGACGTACGCCCGTCCGGCGGAGGAAGTGCCTCGGCTCCTCCTGTGGAGTCCGTACCTCCTGCTGACACGAATTTATATGAAACGCTTGATTTACGGCAAAGCATTGGAGACCATGGGTAAGTTCCTCCAGGCTCTGGGCTTCACTTTTACCGGGCTTGACCGCAAGTCTTCGCCTTTGGTGATCACAGGATGGGGTCACGTGGAAGATCGTCTAGTAGACGTCTTCCTGCATGCGCGATCAGCGTTTGAGCAGTTGGGGTTGTCTGAGAAATCGCAACAGGCGGACAAGTATGCGCGGGTGGTGTATCGAGTTGTTGTTGGGGAAGATGCGTCATTTGATGAGACGCACCCTAGGTCTTCTTAGGTCGTGCAAGGAGCGAATTGGTTGCGTTGTAGAGTATGCAGAAGCACATAGCGGTACTCAGAAATACGATTCATTTCCTTGTTCGCATCGAACGCCAACGCCTGGCTTAGAAGATAGCGCCACAGTCGTCAAAGCCATTCGACCATCTACGCTTGGATCTGGATGGAGGCATACTACACACAACCTAGAACTGCGAATTCAGCGTGTGTGAGCAGTACCATTGATCATGAACCAGCATAGGTACCATTGGCACTACCTATGAAGACGACCTCGACGGCCGCGAATCTATCGCGAAAGTCAGTTTCAAGATCACGATCGAATATTGAGAGTAACATACGCCGCTGTGCCGCCGAATATCTCCTTGATCGTCGCGGTGTCGAGGACTCTCAGTAGAACTCCAATGCAAATCGTAGCCACTATAGTGATCCAAATCCTAGTGATAGTCCTCTTCACATGGAACAACCAGAGGATGATGAGGCTTGGAAGCAGCGAAATGGCGACAGTCGATAGAAGGGTCAACGTCCACGTCACGACCGCGATCAACGTGGTATAATCGTAGTCCTCGGGATCTTGGATTTTAGTGGTAGGGAAAAGCGGGCGTAGCTGTAATTCGTCAGTTCCAACTTCGTCCGGTATGCCATGAAAACGTACCAATTTGAAGAAATAGTCGTATGCTTTGACGAGTTTTGGGACGAACCACGCTGATGGCACGTTGTCGTCGTGGTCTTCATGCGTCAAGGCCACCATATCGTGCTTGGCGTCGTCGCTCCACATTTGGAGAAGGTCGTTATCTTCCTGGAAGTCTTTTCCACGTCCATTCGTGCGCAGCCATCTCCGCAGGAACTTGAACCTTCTGTCACTGGGCTGTCGCAACTTCGTGACTTCCGCTGTAGTGAGAAGCAATCTGTCTATAACAGATGATTAGCAGTTGAAGACGAGATGATGGTGATGTGCTGCGAACGGTATCTTTCCAACTTTGCTTGTGCCCGCTTCAGCAGTTCCATTTGATTTGGGTGGTCATCATCACCCTCCGTGCTCGTATGTTCCAGGTTCAATTTGAACAGATTTGTAGAGTAATCCCCTCTGGGCGGACCAGCATTGTCGTCTTCCCCTTGCTTGGTTCGCAACGTCTTTTCGATTTCAATGAGCTCAGCTTGGAGACGCATCAAAACAAGCGCGTTCAAAGCCCCAAAGCGTCGGAATATGGCGACATCCGGGTCTTCTCCCATCACAATCGCAAGCTTTGGATATCCTTTGGGGGGCGGGGAGACGGTGATCACACCAAAAGCCTCCATTTTGTAGATGGATTGACTATCCAGTGAGGAATGATAACATGGGCAATTTTGGAAGATAGGCAGGGCCACGACGGGGCCTCTACCCAACGTAAATACTCTTTCGTGCTGAGAAGAGCAAGCGCAGAAGGCTTAACCCGGCTTCTGGAGGCCATAAATGATATAGGCGCCTACGACTGATAGTCAGCATTAGCCATGTGTTAGATTGGCACTCATTCGCTCTGATGTTGCAACAGAGCTGCATGTAGCTGCGGCCAGGGTTCTCAGCTTCCAGTTTGGAGTTCAGCTTTGATTGCGTAGCCACTGAGCTCTTTGCTTGGCATGCTTCCAGATAACACAGCTGAGCATAATGCGACCAATGGCTTGCTTGTCATGCAGTCTCAGACTTTTGTGAAAGGCCTCCATCAACACGGCAGTGATGTCGGCATCCGCACTAACACTGTCAACATAGCATCTAGCACTGCCCGCTCAGCTTGAAATACAACAAAATATCATTCAAGTCCAATCCGTCGGGTAAGACCCCGCCAGTTCAAAAACACCAGCCCAATCCCAACATAGGTATAGTATCAGAGGATCCTCGTCCAAACTCTTCATCACCTTACAAACCCTCCCTAAACACGCTCCTCCGACTCTCCGTCGGGCTGTTCTCTACACTATCCACACTACCCGCCTTCCTGTGCTTGCTCACACTGGGCATTGTCGCCGTAGCACCACCCCGATAACTCGTATCCGCATCGAGCACCGGCCTGGGACTCACGCCCCTCAGACTCGCCGCATTATCGTCGCCAAACGGATTCCTCCCACTCTGCGCATCGAGATGTTCGTCGTAGGAATCGCGTGTGCGGCTGCGTCCGCGACTTGGCTCGACATTGTTGTACGGCGTGGGGTTGGCATACGGATTCGCAGTCTGTCCGCCATGAGTAGACGCCGGTTCATGAAGCCCCAGTTCCTGCTCTTCATAGTATGCCTCGTCGCCCACGCGCGAACTCCACGCCTCATCAGGATCAAGACGGCTTCCTGCGCCGCG